ATATTGGAATTCAATCTATTTCTTCTAATGATCTCTCTCGAGTAGAATTAGTGCTATACTAGTTTGTAAACCTGCAGCAAAAAAAAAAAAAAAAAAAAAAAAAAAAAAAACAATGAACATTGTCAATTACATAGACTATAGTTGTAAATCTCTATCTCCCATCGAAAAATGAAATAGTTATTATTATGTGCTAAATCTTTTTCGATCTTTCGAAAGCAATATAAAACACCGAACCAAGAGAATCTAGAGCAAGGGAAGACCTATAAAGGGATGAGTGGGTGTCGTTGCCCCCACTGGATTTTCAAATGCGGGGTTTTTAAATTCAAGTTTTTTTTTTTCCCAATTTATTCAAAATAATATTTTTACATAATTGTGTATCACTCCATTGAACCATAATCTTGGGTTTGCCTCTGATCTAGAATATAAGAAGTAGGACGCTAACCACAAAAAATGACATTCTTATTATTAGCTTTATGTCTCAAGTCATACCATATAAGGAATTAACCGTCATAGTCCAACATGATTTTATTACCACTTTTTATCGGGCACGAAGCTGCGTAAGACTTATGAATTGGTGGAACAAAAGGACAGCAAATTCGTCCAAGACTTCTTATTGCATATCTTTTCGTCACTCGTATCTTATTTATATTCATCTTTCGAGGTACGAGAGCAGTCAAACACCTTCCTATTGCCTTGACTGAAGATCATTTTTGCCAAGCAACACTCACATGAATTTGATTCAAATTATACACACTTTTTCGACTAAAACAAGTACCACCTATCAAACTTGCTAATATCAACCGTCCTAACAATCTTGGGGTTGTGGATCACTTAACTGTAAGCGGAGTTGCATTCAGGTCACTCATATTCAATTTGGTGCAATTAGATCACTTAAATTCAATTTGTTTGCAAATCTAATCATCATCTTCAATTTGATACAAATCGAGTTACCAAATATCGACTTGCTTACAAATTTGGTCATTATGTCCTCTACTCGTCAACTTAACTTATGTAACATATTGAAATGGACAGTGAAATTGATGGATGCTGATGTTCACCTCACACAACAGTAGAAATCAACCATCTATAAAATATACTTTTTAATTAAAAGTGTATGAGCTAAAAGCACGTTTTTACACGTCATTCATCAATTAGTTTAGTATCCAGATCAACATATTGTGCTAGTTAAACTGACTACAATGAACAAAATGACTAGATTTGTAAGAAAGAAAAAAAATCAAAGTTGAATGACCAGATTATATCAAACTAAATATGTGTGACCAGATTTGCAAGAAAATGAAAGTTTGGTGACCTTAATGAATCAAATTAAAGATGAGCGATCCTGTTGTAACTCTTCTTAAAATTGAGTGACCTACAATGCATTTAATCCTCCTAGAATCATACCCAAAACCATCCTCATCGCGCTTGTTAACCTATGTTCCTTTCAAGTATTCTACATAGTGAAAATGACAACACATTGCATAAGCTTGCAATGACGTAATTGTCAAATGGAAATGATCTAATGCTACTCGATCAAGTGAATTTAAACTTAAGCTTGGATGTGTATAATGTAAATTTTTGAGAATAAATTTTCTGAAATGTCATTTATTATTATTATTATTGTTTTTTTTTTGTGGAAAAAATGAGCGATTAAAAAGTATGGAACAGTATGCGTCAACGTTCAAAATTATTTTATTGAGAGAATGTGTGATTGAAATGACTTTTAAAGAATTTCTACCAAATTGGACTTTTTGAAAATTGATATTTTTTGTTATACATGTGTAGTTTAAAAGTAGAATTAAAAAAGTTTACGTACAAAATTATTTTATTGAAATGGTCCAGTGATATAACCTATGCTACTCATATGGTATTTAACCTTTAGTAGAACTAAGCATTCTTTTCTTTTTCTTTCTTTCTTTCTTTCTTTCTTTCTTTCTTTATTCTCAATTCTTTTTTAATTTAGTATTCAGTCTTTCATTTTAAGGTTATTATTACTCCACATAATAATAAAGAAGAAAAGAGTAAGCATTTAATCAAACAACTGTGAAACAAGTTAGAAACATTAAGCAAAACGGCGTTAACATAAAATTGAGATGACTAAGCCATGACTTCCTCTTATTCGGGAGTTCCTAACCTACGCAATCGGCCTAAATTTATTTAAGTTCAATACGACCCAATTTTCTGGGCCAGGCCCATGTAGGACCCCCAACACATATTTTTTTAGTGGAAATTACACAATTCCATAGGTTTTAAATTCCAACTTCACGAATCAGATCCAATATTTGGTTATTCAAAAATTAGATGTTATATATATAATATTTATTTTTAATAAATATAACCCACAATTCAACTCCAAACCCTAACCTCTCTTATCTCTCTAAACCCGTTCAAAATTCGACGATGAAAAAGTTGCTCCGACTGACGCTGTTGGAATTGAAGATGATGGCAGTGCTAGCAGTTGCAGCGACCTGCAGTAGCAGCATTGATTTGTGGCGATCATGGATTTTGTGTGGTGTGGTGACGATGTTTGTGCGGTGGCGGTGGAGGCTGTGGTGATTCAGAGGGGTGGATGTGGTTTGTTTGAAGTGTTGCAATGGGTTGTTTGAGGTGTTGCGATGGTGTCTGATTTGGCAATCGGGGTAGATGTGGTAGTGTGTGAGCTTCGCCGAAGTCTGGCAGATTGTGATGGTGTAGCTGTAGCGACGGCGATCGTGGTGTTGATTTTTTTTTTTTTTTTTGCCTTTTATGGTTGACAGCGCAAATCGTGGCGGTGATGGCGCAGATCATGGCTATGGCGGTGTAGATTGTGGTGTTGATTTTTTTTCTTGGTTGTTGGATGTGGTGCAAGCAGTGGCGGCAGCGTTGACATCGCCCAGGTGGATCAATAGTGTCTGTGACCAGTAAATTGTTTGATTCGATTGTGATGGTGAATGCGGTGGTTGTGGAAATGGGTGACGTTGACGGTGTTGGCTGTGGCGTTGCGGTGGCAATTTAAGGAAATGGGTGGATGCGGTTTGGGGCAAGTTTTGCTGGCTGCGGTGGCAACGATGGTGGTGAAAATTGTGACTGTGCATGTGACTCTCTATTATGACTTGAAAATTGTGATTGTGACTCCCAATTGTGATTCACAATTAATAAAGTTGTGACCGAAAAATTAATCATGAACAATTAATTCAATAACTTGCAATGAGTAATAATTGTGACTAATAAAAGTTTTGAATATGTGATCGATGAATAAGTATTTTATTTGAAGAATTGAACAAAACTAAAATTTCTGTAGATTCTTAAAACGTCGTGACCTGTAAAATTTTTGGATTCGTGACCTAAAAATATTCTGTGACCTATAAATTTTTCGACCTGTGATCGAGAAATAAGTTACGACCAATAATTTGATAAGTTGTGACTAAAAATTAATCTGTGATTAATTAATTAGATAACTGTGATCTGAATATATTTAATAAAATATATGTTTAATAAATTAATTTATAAATAAAAATTAAAAATCTGATTTTTGAAACTTTAAACATTTGTTCTTAATTTTGAAAAAAGGTATATTTACCTTCTTAGAAATGAATTTTTCCCATTTTTTATTAGAAATTTGCTATTTGTACATGGACATGTACACTTCCCTCACATGGACGGACCATGCCCAATAAAAAAAGCGCGAGCCCCCTCTTGTAGGGACATTGTCAACGTCCGTGTACACATAGCACGACTCTTTTTTTTAATAGTTTTACAAGAATGTTTGAGAGTACTTTTCCAAACTTATAGTTGATCAAACATCAATTTTATTTGAACATTCTATAGGATTTACAACTTTTACTTGCTTTTTATCTACATAATTCATAGAACCACTACTTATAAATGCTTATAAGTATTACCAAACTAGCACTACATAGTTTATTATTATTATTATTATTTTTGGAGGGGGAATTTAAAAAATTAGGTACCACTAATTTTTTATTTAAAATATGTATATCCACCTATACCCCCACTCCTCCGTACCCCACCAGCAACCCTTCAAAAACATACACCCACCCATTCCATCTTGCCCCTTCAAAAAGAAAATGGAAAAAAATAATTTTGACATTCGTCGAAGCTCCTCCACCACGCTCCAAAGTTTGTTCGTGATTTCTCTCCCATTACACATCATTCATTTTTCCTTCTAGTGCAGATAGTAAATAGTACGAGGGTTTAGGACTATGAATGGCACAAAATAAAAATTAGGCACCGTTTGATAGCTCTCATTTTCCATGGAACTTGGAAAATAAATTCCATTTTCCATCCTTAAGTGTGTTGGATGGCAAAAAAATTGGCATGGAATTCATTTTCCACTTCTTGCCTCACGTGATGGCTTTTCTAGGTTTTTAGTGAATTACAATTCCCACCAAATGGTGGGAATTGCTTTTCTAACTTTTTTTTTTCAATGAAAACAAATTCTAGAAATAATTGAAAAAGAGAATATCTTTTAAATTGACAATTTTAATGGAAAACAAAGTCAAACGAATACTAAAATATAAATGATTTTTGGTTTTGCTGGATTTTTTTTTTTTTTTTTTTTTGTAATGGAAACAAATTCTATAAATAATTGTAAAAGAATATATCCCTTAAATTGACAATTTTCATGAAAAACAAAATCAAACGAATACCAAGAAACACTTTAATTTCAATATTTTCTAGGTGAAAAATTATACCAATCAAACACTATTAATTGACAATTCTCATGAAAACAATTTTTAGGCAATTCAATTCCCTGGAATTCGTTTTCTTTCTACTCAAATTTCATCTTTACAATCAAAGAAAGATTTGGGACCATGACTACAATTCTCCCTGTGAAAATTGAGTAAGTTGTGTCATTCAATGTAGGCATCGCTTTAGTTTTTGGTGATGTTGAGTAACTCGGTGAATTTGGAAACATGAGTACTAGTAGCGTGATCAGTTTTTAACATATAAAAGTTTGGTGACTAAAGGTAAAACAAATATAGAAGTTGGGTGACCATTCATGAACTATTTCCATTTTTAGATCGTATATGTCGGACAACGAAACGACGTCGTATGAACGGGCGACGCCATTTCCTTTGGCATCTATGATCTACCTCGTCAGTACTGAACAATTTGAAAACCCTAAATAAGCTTGCTTTTCTGGCTCTGTGAAGAAGAAAAATTACAAAATCAGCAGAGATCAATCGGATCAAATCGAACTGTGAGTACAAGAATGGCTATGGCTGCTTTGAGACGCGAAGGAAGGCGTTTCGCCGCCCCTCTCATCTCCAACAACCCTATCAACCCCTTCCGTTCCTCTTTCGCCCCTGCTGAGTACGATTCGATCTCTCTTTTCTAGTTATCTGTATTTATGTTTCGATTCCATGCTTCATTTCGTATGGAAAATGTCTTATATGTGTGCGTTTGATGGGAAATTGATGATTCCTAAGCATAGCACGCCATTTTCAGTGTAAAATGTACATCATGTCATTGCTGAGACTTTCAGATTATAGATACAGTGTCTATATTCTCTACCCAACATTCAATGGCCAGTTAGTATAAATTTTTTGATAGTGTCACGGGCTATAATTGAGACATTAGCCTCTTATGTGAATGTAAAATATATAGATTGAAATTAGGACTACTGGGAACCTGATAGCTCTTACAGTCTGCAAAGGACAATGATTCTTTTGAGCTATTGTCATCTTGCTCACTCTATGCATTATATTTTCTTGGTTAATTGAATGGACATCTCCATTTTGCTTTTAAATTTACAAGAGGTTATCTGAGTATTTAGTTCAGAGATCTTCAATTTTCATAATATTTGTGGTTGCGTTGGACAAGAAGAAATGTAGTTTACCTGGTGATGTCATTTATTTGACTAATTTTTTGGTAAAATATCTCCCATGCACCAAATATAATGGTTTGCACTATTATTTTAGCTCAGAAAAGATGTTCAACTTGTGGGGATATGGTTTGGTTGGCTTGTTAGATGTATTATCCATACTTCAAGGTGTGGTTGTTCACTTTTTAATTCTGGATTCGACTTTTTCTTCGATGGCTCTGTCTTGATCTTGTTTATTCAAGTAAAATGATCTCAAAAAAGATTGGCTCTAGTTCTTTTCAACGACGACATGGAAACACCAAAAAGATTTAGAATGTTATATGCTTATGAATGGTTACCCATTTGATTACTTCGATTAGACAAAAACATCACATAAATCGTTTACAAAAACCTTCTAAGGCTTACGCCTCAATTCCTGCTTCACATGAGGCTTTTATTAAACGCCTCAAAACGTATGCCTTAGATGCCATTTGTGAGGTTTAAGCCTCGACTTAGTGAGGCTTACACCTCAAAACTAAGTCTCATGGGGACTATTGTGTACACTCATTTGCCTTGCCTTTTTTGCTACAGTTAATGGCCATTTTATAACCTAGAATGTTCTACAATTTTTTTTTTTTTTAATTTCTATTTTTTGCTTTACACAAAAGAAGAAGGAGAAGACGTCATTGCATATGGAGAATGATTATAAAGAATGAGAAGAAACTTATAGTAATGATGACGACGGGAATGGAATATTTTGGATGTTTTAAAAACCACTCAAAATCGTTGTGGTGTAATTTTGACCCTTTCTCCCAACCCATCAAATCAACGGTTTTTACCATTTCTCATATTATTTTCTGATTTTACAATTAATATTTATTTTTAATAAATATAACCCACAATTCAACTCCAAACCCTAACCTCTCTTATCTCTCTAAACCCGTTCAAAATTCGGCGATGAAAAAGTTGCTCCGACTGACGTTGTTGGAATTGAAGATGATGGCAGTGCTAGCAGTTGCAGCATTGATTTGTGGCGATCGTGGATTTTGTGTGGTGTGGCGACGATGTTTGTGCGGTGGCGGTGGAGTCTGTGGTGATTCAGAGGGGTGGCTGTGATTTGTTTGAAGTGTTGCAATGGGTTGTTTGAGGTGTTGCGATGGTGTCTGATTTGGCGATTGGGGTAGATGTGGTAGTGTGTGAGCTTCGCCGAAGTCTTGCAGATTGTGATGGCGTAGCTGTAGCGACGGCGATCGTGGTGTTGATATTTTTTTTTCCTTTTATGGTTGACAGCGCAAATCGTGGCGGTGATGGCGCAGATCATGGCTATAGCGGTGTAGATCATGGTGTTGATTTTTTTTCTTGGTTGTCGGATGTGGTGCAAGCAGTGGCGATAGCGTCGACATTGCCCTGGTGGATCAATAGTGTCTGTGACCAGTAAATTGATTGATTCGATTGTGGTGGCAAATGCGGTGGTTGTGGAAATGGGTGACGTTGACGGTGTTGGCTGTGGCGTTGCGGTGGCGATTTAAGGAAATGGGTGGATGCGGTTTGGGGCAGGTTTTGCTGGCTGCGGTGGCAGCGATGGTGGTGAAAATTGTGACTGTGCATGTGACTCTCTATTATGACTTGAAAATTGTGATTGTGACTCTCAATTGTGATTCACAATTAATAAAGTTGTGACCGAAAAATTAATCATAAACAATTAATTCAATAACTTGCAATGAGTAATAATTGTGACTAATAAAAGTTTTGAATATGTGATCGATGAATAAGTATTTTATTTGAAGAATTGAACAAAGCTAAAATTTCTGTAAATTATTAAAACGTCATGACCTATAAAATTTTTGGATTCGTGACCTAAAAATATTCTGTGACCTATAAATTTTTCGACCTGTGATCGAGAAATAAGTTACGACCAATAATTTGATAAGTTGTGACTAAAAATTAATCTGTGATTAATTAATTAGATAACTATGATCTGAATATATTTAATAAAATATATGTTTAATAAATTAATTTATAAATAAAAATTAAAAATCCGATTTTTGAAACTTTAAACATTTGTTCTTAATTTTGAAAAAAGGTATATTTACCTTCTTAGAAATGAATTTTTCCCATTTTTTTATTAGAAATTTGCTATTTGTACATGGACATGTACACTTCCCTCACATGGACGGACCATGCCCAATAAAAAAAGCGCGAGCCCCCTCTCGTGGGGATAGTGTCAACGTCCGTGTACACATAGCACGACTCTTTTTTTTAATAGTTTTACAAGAATGTTTGAGAGTACTTTTTCAAACTTATAGTTGATCAAACATCAATTTTATTTGAACATTCTATAGGATTTACAACTTTTACCTGCTTTTTATCTACATAATTCATAGAACCACTACTTATAAATGCTTATAAGTATTACCAAACTAGCACTACATAGTTTATTATTATTATTATTATTATTATTATTATTATTATTTTTGGAGGGGGAATTTAAAAAATTAGGTACCACTAATTTTTTATTTAAAATATGTATATCCACCTATACCCCCACTCCTCCGTACCCCACCAGCAACCCTTCAAAAACATACACCCACCCATTCCATCTTGCCCCTTCAAAAAGAAAATGGAAAAAAATAATTTTGACATTCGTCGAAGCTCCTCCACCACGCTCCAAAGTTTGTTCGTGATTTCTCTCCCATTACACATCATTCATTTTTCCTTCTAGTGCAGATAGTAAATAGTACGAGGGTTTAGGACTATGAATGGCACAAAATAAAAATTAGGCACCGTTTGATAGCTCTCATTTTCCATGGAACTTGGAAAATAAATTCCATTTTCCATCCTTAAGTGGTTGGATGGCAAAAAAATTGGCATGGAATTCATTTTCCACTTCTTGCCTCACGTGATGGCTTTTCTAGGTTTTTAGTGAATTACAATTCCCACCAAATGGTGGGAATTGCTTTTCTAACTTTTTTTTTTCAATGAAAACAAATTCTAGAAATAATTGAAAAAGAGAATATCTTTTAAATTGACAATTTTAATGGAAAACAAAGTCAAACGAATACTAAAATATAAATGATTTTTGGTTTTGCTGGATTTTTTTTTTTTTTTTTTGTAATGGAAACAAATTCTATAAATAATTGTAAAAGAATATATCCCTTAAATTGACAATTTTCATGAAAAACAAAATCAAACGAATACCAAGAGACACTTTAATTTCAATATTTTCTAGGTGAAAAATTATACCAATCAAACACTATTAATTGACAATTCTCAT